TTGAAAAGTTAAAGAGAAACGGTGGTGAAAAAATGCCCGGACCCAGATCAGGACTGATTATCCAGACCCTTTTTGAATTGTGTTAATAATTTTGAGATATATTTGACACCAAATCAAATATGGTAGCAATATTCAATCACACGAAGGTCGTATTTAAAATGTAAAGGTGGAAAAATGGATGGGGTCGGAGGGGGAAAAATCGGGGGCCCGAGTTCAATTTCCCAGTCAATCCATTGGTTCCTTAGGGATATTTTCCCTTGGGAAGGTATAAATTTTTCTAATAGCAGCATCATCTTTTTTTAGCAGCTGAGGCAAATTTTTTGGACGCCGATCGTTCTCCGAGAACAACGGATACCATACAAAAAAAGATGTGATTATAATATAAAATTTAAAAAAAAATGCCGGTTTTGGAATTAAAATAGATAAAATTTTTAAAAACCTGAAAATATCAGTGATTTTATTTTTATTCTAAATGTTGATAAAAAAATTATCTTCAATCTATCTCAGTCTGTTTCTATCTATCTCAGTCTCTTTTTTATCTATCTATCTTTTATCTATCTATTATTATTATCTATCTCAATTCTTATTATCTATCTATCTATCTACACATCTATCTATCTATCTACCCAATCATTCTTTATTATTATCTATCTATCTATCATCTATCTATCTCAACCCTTTTTTATATCTTTATCTATCTATCATTTCTATCTCAATCTTTTCATATCTATCTATTTTCTTCTATCTATCATCATTATCTTTTGTCCAATCTCTTCATATCCCAATCTACATTGTCTATCTATCTCGTCTCTTCAAAATTATCTATTATTTCAATTTAGAAAATTTAAGTTTAAAATATGAATTAATTAATTAATTAAAAAAAGCTTTATGAAGTTTTTATTCTAAATTAAATTTTAAAATTTTAAATTACAATTAGGAAATCCTTCAGCTCTTTTGGGGGCGGGACCTCTAGTTTTTTTTGAAAATTAGTCCGGGGATAAACCAGCTCTTTTGTCTCAAGGCCCCTTGAAAAAACCAAAGACGGATATGAAATTTAATTTTATCTGGTACCCGTCTGCAGTCGTTCCTCCCAGACGTGACTCCCCTTTCTTTTTTTTTTTTCCTAAAAATCTTTCATGATAATTTTCTGATGGCTGCTTCGCTTTTCCCCAATTTAAATTTGCTTCCCCAACTGGCCCCGCTCCCCCCCTCCTTGGTTTTTGGGGCCCCTTCTCTCCAATAGCTTTTTTTCCCCACTTCTCCCTTGGACTCCCCCATTCCTTTTTTTCCTGGGCTTAATTCCAACTTTCAAATTTTGCAATCGACAGATGCCTTGATCTACCCCCCTAACCTTCTCTTTTACCCTTTTCCCCCTCCCCTTTTTGCTCTCACTCCAACTCTCTGAACCCCGGGTCTAGTGGCCCCTACCTTGCGGGGTGGAATGCTTAAAACAAAAGTCCGTGATTGGATGTTTTAAGGGGCTAACCCCCAGGGTTTTGTTGTTAAGGTCCCCCTGCCGGGTTAACACTTTTGGGGTCCAGATAGGGGAAATTGTGAACCCCCCCAAAATAAAAAAAAGCATATGATGGTAAAAAATTTTTTAAGTAAAATACCAGCAATACTTTTTTATAAAAAAAGAAATTACCAACAAAAATATTTTTTAAAATGACCCAATGCTTTTTTATCTGTAACTGAAGGCATAAAAGGTTAAAAAAACATTTAGTTGAATTAAAAATTTTGGTCAAAAAAAATTTCGGCATTAAATAAAAAAAGGTGTTGATTCCCCCTAAACAAAATCAACCAAACAAACAACAAACATGAAGAACCCTTTTGACATGTCTGTTTTTAGCAAAAAAGTCAACAATATCTATTTAAGCAAAAAGACCAAATATATTAAAAATTTTGAAGGTCATATAGGAAAAAAAAGAGTATACCGGGTTTTAGGTTCAGGTGACACGCTGGACTTGGAAAAAGCAGTCAGGTGTATAAAAAACGGTGTGGCTCGGCTGCGTGATTATTAGTGGAACTATCGTCGAATTAGGTGTTTTGTGCGTTGATGATTTGGGTTTTTATTTGCGGGCGTTAAGCCGAGCCGCGCTACTAAAAAGTATTCAAGAAAAGATTAATTATCTTTGGGTTTATTTTTTCTTCTTTTTTTCTTTTTAAGTATTTCTTTAATTAAATACTTTTTTATCTTAACATTGAAGTCATCCGTAAACTTAATCATTAGCAGCCACCCCCACGTCACAAAAGAAGGGGAAACAATTGTTCAAAAAATTCAAATATATAAGAAGAATGAACAACCGGAAAATAGATAGATAGATAGATGATGAAAAGATAGCACATAATATCAGCTAAAGAAAATACCCCCAATGGCTCGATGTTCAACTGGTCGAGTAATGGATGAAACAGTAAAAACTGGAAAAGAATTCGTCTCCCAGTTTCTCATTCCGGGAATATTCATTAAACCCCGGCCCAATACTTAGCCCACATTTTCTATCTATCTTCTATCTATCTATCTATCTATCTATCTTTTTTTTTCTATCCTATCTATCTTTTATCTTTACCTTTTTTTATATCTCTTTAAAACTATCTATCTATCTATCATCTTTTTTCTATTTTCATCTATCTCGGTTTTCATATCTATCTACTTCTTTTTATCTATCTATCCCATCTATCTATCTTTTTCAAATTATCCTTTTTCATCTATCTATCTTTTCATATCTACTATCTATCTTCTATCTATCTATCTATCTATCTATCTATCTATCTATCTTTCCCTATCTATCTCGTTTTTTCAATCATCTATTAAAACTATCTATCTATCTACTATCTATCTATCTATCTTTTCCGGTCTTTTCATATCTATCTATCTATCTATCTATCTATCTATTATTATCTTCTATCTCAGTCTTTTCATATCTTTTTCTCATTTTTCTATCTATCTATCTATCATCTATCTATCTATCTATCTATCTATCTCAGTCTTTTCATATCTATCTATTTATATCTATCTATCTATCTATATTATTATTATTATCTAAATTTAAAAAAAACTCTATTCCCCTGTATAGAACATACTATACAGCAAAAAAACGGGATCGTCCGTTGGCTCGATGACCCCGACTCTTGAGATGTGGTAAAACGGGATAAAAAATCAATTTATTCTAAAAACCCGATCGGGCCCCCAAAATTCGACCGCAACTTTAAAAAGGGGTACATATTTCTTTTTTTTCCCCCCCCCACTATGGATAAAGGGGGTAAATACAGACTGGGTTCTATAACCTTGGGGGGCAACTGGTCGGGAAAGTAACGAAGTCAAAAACTTGAGCCCTGGTGTGAAAAAATATACAGCTAAATAAAGGGGCGTTCACTTGGCCATGATTCCCCCGGTCGACTGAATGGATGGGTCTATGGACCCAGCTGGAATTAATTCGTCTCCCCAGTTTTTCATCCGGGGAAAATATTCTTATACCCGGGCCCCCTATTTATCTATCTATCTGAATTCAAAAAATGAACTCTGGTATACCAAAACATATAGCTACAGAAAAAGTGCTCATTGGCTCGATATCTTCTTTTCGTCTTTTCATATCGATCTATCTATCTCAGTCTTTCTTCTTCTATTCCGCTTTTCATAATAATCATCTATTTATTTAGTCTTTTATCTCATCTTAAAGTCTTTTTTATATCTATCTCAGTCTATTTCATTCTTCTTTTAAATCTCTTCTTTTTCCCATCTATCTATCTATCTATCTATCTATCTATCTATCTATCATCTATCTGAAGTCAAAACAAATTTGCCCCTTGTACAATACATCAGCTAAATAAAGGGCTTCGTATTGCTGATGTTCCCACGGTCGACGGGAAAGGATAGGATCTAGTGGACCCGCTGAATTAAATTGTCCCCCAGTTTCTCATCCTGGGGAAAATTTCGTTAACCCCCCCCCCATATTTGACCTAGTTGGTGAATGCAGCGTAATGTTTACTGATCAGAAATGATGCGAGGGAGATAATTATCTTCGCTTTTCCTAGGGGTTGGTCATTTGTAACCTGGGGTGACATCATTACGTTCCGGAGAAACCCGGAACAGTACAAAACGCATTAGGAAAAATTTTAAATAAAAGGGAGATGAAGAACCGAAAAAAATTTTCATTAATATCAAGCAACGAATGGCTTCATTGATGTGTGGGGTTAATTTTGAAATAATTAGTATATTTAAATTTTAGCCATCGGTCGTTGCTTATGACTTCTTGAAAAATGGATGTCTATTTAAGCGTGAAATTGTTTCCCCCCTGGTAAAGAGCTTGAAATCTTTGATGGTGAAAACCAATTTAAAACAAAGATGCAACGACACTTAAAAAAGACAACACTACTAGTAATACTACTACTGCTACGTGCTACTACTACTACCTACTACTACTAATAATAATAAAATACCAATGGAAAAAAGGGAATGGAAGATGAATAAGGTAAAAAAAAGGCGCGGAAAAAAAAAAAAGATAATGGGGAAGATTAAAGTAAAGAAAGATGGAGGGGAAAAAAAAAAAGGAAAGGGGAAAAAAACAGAGAAAAAAAAGGGACTGACGCAGAAAAAAAAGTTATGGGGGAAGGAGAAGGAGAGGAAAGGAAAAGGGGGAAAGGGGGGAAAAACGAAGGGAAAAAAGTTTGATAAAGAAGGAAAAAATAAAATTGTTTTAAGAAGGTCGAAGGAGGGAAAAAATTTGGGAAAAAGAAAAGAGTAGGAGGAGGGGGGGAAAAAGAAAAGAAGAAGAAGAAGAAGAAGAAAAAGAAAAGAAGAAGATTGGACAAAATCTTTTAAAAAAACCCATGAAGGAGGAAGAGATGAAGGGGAAAGGGTGAAGGAAAAAAAGATGAAAGAAAAAAAAAAAAAACTGGAATTGAAACGAAAAAAATGATGAAAAAATGGAGGAAGGGGGGAAGGGCGAAAATTTTTAATAATAATAATAATAATAATAATAATATAAAATACCTTCCCCATAATGGTAAACTTGTCATAAAAACACCATTCCACAATCCATTATATGAAAACTGGGAAAATTTTAAAAATTGTCGGGGGCTATAAACACCAAAGGGGGAACCGATAGGGGGGAAAAAATATTGGAAATTTCAAAAAAAACTATCTATTATCTATCTATCTATCTATCTATCTATCTATCTTCATCTTTTTCTATCTAAACCCCTTTATCTATCTATCTATCTATCTATCTATCTTTTATCTATATTTATGTCTTCCTTATCATCTATCTATCTATCTATCTATCTATCTATCTATCTATCTATCTTTATTCTTCGATCATCTATCTTCATCTATCCGTTTTTCAATCTATCTCTGTTATGTCAGTGTCTTCATTCATCTATCTATCATCTATCTATCTATCTTCTTCTATCTATCATTATCTATCTATCTATCTATCTATCTATCTGTGTCTTCGTATCTATTATTATCTACATCTGCTTTCCCCTTTTTATCTATCTATCTATCTACCCTTCTATCTATCTATCATCTATCATCATCTATCTATTTAGTACATTTTCCCTTTGTATCATCTATTATCTATCTATCAAATTTTATTATTATCTAGCATTTTCTTCATTATTATCTATCTTCTTCATTTCTATCTATCTACCCTATCTATCTATCTTCAGACTTTTCTTCTTTTTTTAATCTTTTCATTCTGGAATAATGAAATTCATAAAAAATCTCAAAAAACTGTCTCTTCTAAAATATGAAATATCCTAATACAAAAAAAAAAAATATCCATGTAATGTATAACTCGTCCTTTCGGGAAAACGCCACGCAAAAGCACATTCGCGTAAACCCGGGGATATTTAAATTTATTCTGAAAATAAACCATGCAACGAATGATCCTCCCATGTTTCTTTTTCCTTTTTTTTCCCGTGGGTAGGTTGACGGCATTTCCCACTTGTATATCCTTAATATCATCTTCGGGAAACAAAAGATGCAAAATCTACATTCTTGGTACGTTTTTCCTTCAGCATAAAAAGGATAATTTTAATTTCACTACGCGGGCGTGCGGCCCCAAATTTTTCTGGGGATTCCCTGCACGTCTAATGTTTTATACCTTTATAGACTTATAATATATATACAGGTTGTCCCCCAAAAAGTACCACTTTCGGTGATAATTCCTTATCTTGAAAGGACTATTTTTTAGGAAAGGTGATATTTAAAAAAAAACCCGGGTTTTGGGGGTTTTTTTTTGTAAATTTAATAATTGCACCTCAAAAAATTATCATTTATTTTTTGTTTTAATTTCGGCATTCTTTACATCAATGTTGTCGTTAAACCTACTTTTGGGATAATGCTTTTAATAATCATTTTGTAATATATTCATTTTTCGAAAATTGCAAGTTTCCCAAATATATTGTACGTAACATAAAATTATTAATTTCTGGATAAGTTGGTTCGGGCATATCCCTAATATTTTTGGAGTTTTATATTCTTTGTTATTGTGAGGGTTGGGTAAAATTTTATTTTGGGGAATAGTAAAAATTGGTTTTAAAACAAGAGTCTTGCATTATTAGCCGAAATTTTTTTCCCCAAATATATATTTGATGCGGAAAAAATTTTTAGTAAAAAAAAAATACTATTTTTAAAAGAGTGCTCAAAAAGGGAGTAGATCAAATAAAATTATTCGAAAATTAAAACAAAAAAATCAGACAAAAAGTTTCTTCAACACCATCACTTAAAAGGACACCAAAAGGGGAAACAAAAAAGCTGTTTTTGTCGTAAATTTTGGTGAAAATATCGTACAAATTAAAAAGAGCTCTATTTCAAGTAGGAAAATTCGATTCAATATCTTAGATCGATTCAATATCTTAAAAAGATAAAACTCTGATCAATTAATATCAGACTAGAAGTTAAAGTTTGTCACGTTTTATTTAGGAAAATTTAGCACGCAAATATTAAAACCTTTTTTTTTTTCGGAATAAAGGATTTAATTTCTTTTAAATGAAGGTATATAATATATGGGTTTATTCTGTTTAAATTTTGTTAAAAAAAACCACGTGACAAAATTTTGGGGGTGGGAAACCGCCCCATGTTTTTCAGTTTTTAAAATATTGAATTGATCAGCATGTTTAAAATTTCCCACATAAAATTTGGGAATTTTTTTCCCGTGTACAAGTATAACAATATTTCATGTTTGTTTTTTATCCCTTTAAGATATATATATATATATATATATATATATATATATATATTTTTGACTTTTGTCGAGTTCGACGTATGAGGGTAAAGGGTATGAGGGTAAACAAATCATTTCCCGGGGAAACCACAGCCGGGAAAAAGCAAAAGGAGATTCGATTATAGTGGGAAGGTTTGTGAAACCATCCAACTTTTTAAAGGGGACAAAACAGAGCCCCCGTTGATGTGCCAAAGGCCCCCCAAAGACCCCCCCCCAGGTTTTGAATTCGAGTTGTCCTTCCCAGACCAGTTACCATCCAAGGCTATAGAACCCATTTTGGTCCCCTTTTTACCCATAGCTGCATGCATAAGAAGGGATTAAAACCCTTTCCCCAAGGGTATTAACGGGAATATAATGGATTGACTTGAATTGAATTTGGCTTTTGTGTTTCCCTCAATCCAAGGGGGTAATGGATATATATATATATATATATATATATATATATATATATATATATATATATATATATTTTTTGTGTGTGTGTGTGTGTGTGGGGAAATGTATATAAAAAATGTAAAAGACAAAAAAAAACTGAAAATATTGGACAATAGGGGGACAATTTTTTTTTAATAGTTTGTTTTAATAAATTCATTTCTGTTTTCCCTTTTAAAAAGTTCAAAAGGGGATGAAACGCGTCGGGAAAATTTTTAAATTTTAAAAGTAGGGCCAATAAAAAAGTAGCACTAAAAAGGGATCGTGATATATATATATATATATATATATATATATATAAATATTAAATGCTCAAACATGGTTATAATTTATTAGATGTTTCCCCATGGTTATAATTTATTAGATTGGAATCCAAAATTTGTAGGTCTGATAAATTTGGGATCGTGATTACGATTAAAAATGTAAAATCTATAACCGTGGAATATTATTTTTGGGTTTTTTATATTATTTTCTTTACTCTGCCCTGGACATTCAGTTCACCTGGATTCTACCCCTTTTTAAAATATATATATATATATATATATATATATATATATATATATATATATACAAAATTAATTTATATTATAAAAAAAATTAAGATATTATGCTCTACAGTTGAATCAATTTTTTTTTTAAAAATAAAATACATCAGAACCGGGAATTATAAATCTCATTGTTCTTTTCGTATTATATATATATATATATATATATAAATATCTGTGTGTGTGTGTGTGTGGTGTGTGTGTGTGTGTGTGTGGGGGGGATAAAATTGAAATTTGTATTTGAGTTTAAAAAAGAATGAAAAGCATTTCAGTACTTTTGGGATTTTCGAAATTTTTCCCCCCATCTTTTTTTTTATATTTCCGCCGTTTGGGCCGTTGTACGCCCACCCTTTCCCAGGATCCGTCTATTTTTTGAGATGAGGTAAACCATTTACACTATTTACATTGTTCGGGCTGGACCGTCTTTATTGTCATATTCACGACGTTTCGGTCGATCTCCCCCCCTGTCCATCTTCAGATGATATACTTTGGGAATGTTAAACCCAAAACCTTTATTCAGTACCATGCCTTTTCGGGTTTAAATTCTAAGTTTCAGGTATTTTCATTTTGAAACTAAAAATTCCCGTTTATGTTTTTTTGTTTGCATTGAACACAGAACTTTTTTGGATCAAGTCACGGGATTAATTCAACCTTTTTAAACCCATTGAAATCCTTTGCATAACACCCGGGCCCAAAAAATAGTGTAAATATTACAAAACCTCATTCAGAAATATCGACAGGCGTTTTGAACAGTTTCCCCATTTTTAGACATGTTCATAAGATCTCATAAAAAAATTTTCCCAAATTTTTTTTTGGGGGGGATCAAAAGGGAAAAATGGAACTACTATAGATATAAATATGACTAAAATACAGATAATAATAAAAATAAAAATAACAATAATAATAATAATAATATTAAAAATAATGATAACGTATAAGGCTATAATTTTCGATCGTGAAATGTGTACAGAGATTTTTTTGTTCTCGGAAAAATAAACATCCTAATAAAACAAAAACAATAAAAAAAAAAAAGAAAAATCTCTAAAAAAAAAAATGCAAATAAATAAATGAAAGATATTTTCGCGCCAAAATATGACATTTAAAGATTTTTTTTTTTTAACTTTATCTATTTACTTAATTTTTTAAATTTTTTTTTTTGGCCGTCGGTCTTATATTCGCTTTGGTTTTACGAGGAAAAGTTTTTTGACAGAAACGATGAGAAGGGTGAGGGAAAAAAAAAAAAAAAAGAAAAATTTTCAAAGTCTAAAAATTATTTGATCCGAAAATGTATTAAACTGTTCTATTTATCCCGGGGGAAAAATAAAAAAACATCATTTTCAGAACATATTTTTTTATGGACTTTTCCGAGAACACACATCTAAAAAATGTTTTCATGACATATATATGCACAGCAACAAACATATATATATATATATGTATATGTGTGTGTGTGTGTGTTTTTCAAAAGATAAATATATATGTTGAATAAAAATAAACATATAGATATTCGTTATATGAACATATACATAAAAAGAGTTATATAGATCATGTATATCTAAATCTATATATGTATATATATAAATATACAAATACATATGCAAATAAATATGTGTATAATTTTTTTTATATTTTAAATATATTTATTATATATAGGTTATTAATAAGAATTTCATATATAAATTTTCTTGTATATACATATATATATCTAATAAATAATATATGACAATAATATATATATAAAATATAAAAATATATATATACATATATATATATAAATATATGTATATATTTTGAAATGAGATTTGTAAGAATTTTGTTTTTTTATGAGTGTAAAAATATATATTTCATATATTCGATATATGTATATTGTAGAAAATATATATGTATGTATATATATATATAAAACGTATATATATATATATATATATATATATATATATATATATATATATATATATATATTTTATAAATGAAAAAAGGAAAAACTGTAGAAGGTTGTTTTTGTCCAATGTGGACTTTTTTTCAAACTAAAAACAAAATGAATTTATTTAAACAAAGTAATTAATAATAAAAAAAAAAAAATTTGGAGCAATAAAAAATTTTAGAGAATATATATTTAAAGGAAGAACTATACAATCACTTTTGGGACGAAGGAAAAAATTTAAATTAATTATTTTTCAAAAATATAATAAAATTTAAAACAGTTTAACCCCTTAAAAAAATAACAACAGAGAGATAACATAAAAACTTAAAAGAACGAATATTATTTACGAGTTAAAATGTTTTTTAAGGAATTGTGTCCATGATAAAAACCAAAACTCATAAATAAATTACAGGTAACAAACCACATCCCTATCAAGACGACTTACATTACAAATTTCCAATGGGATTCAGTAGAACTTCATTTAAACGTCAAAAAAAATCTACCATACTGGTTAAAACAAAACGGTAGAAGATACAAATAAATTTCCATCCACATGAAA